TGTCTTATGTTTGACGGCAGCTTCTCTCTTGTCACAACATACTCCACGAGCCTATACAAGTTGCCAATCATGATGTCCAATCAAACGAACACCATCTGATTGACCCCGCAATGACTGGACTTCCTTGTTGATTGAATCTCAAACGAACACCATCTGATTGACCCCGCAATGACTGGACTTCCTTGTTGATTGAATCAAATTTCTCCTAGATCACCTAGATCACATGCTATCACCTTTGATCACCCTTGAATCTGTCTAATCCCTTTAAAACTGTTCAGAATCTGAAAATTCTGACCGCACTGATGAAACCGCAATCTTTGAAAACCTTGAGATCCACTTTTGAGGTGAATTTTTCTGCTATGTTTCTTCTTGCGAAAGTCTTCAGCAGATTTAAACCTTTTTTTTTTTAAATTTTCTGTGTGTGCATGAGACTTCACCTTGCTTTGTTCAAGTCATCGTCAACTATCCCGTGGATCAATAACCTTTAGCTCTGATATCACTTGTTGGGATTTATACCACATCCCACCAACGCAAACAGAAGCACAGTCACGCACACACCAAAGAGAAAAATAATCACATATAGATTTATGTGGTTTGGCCCAAATTACCTACATCTATGGGAGAGAGAGTTTCCACTATGAATAAAATATAGCATACATGTGAGATGGCCAAAACACTCAAAACACTCAAAATCCACACCACTACCCGAACCACATGCTCGAGGATATTTAAGCCTTTGCTCACCCCGATGTCCACGGTATTTTTTCTCTCACCCCTTACTACTCTCTCAATCTCTCTCAAAGAAACCCTATAGTGCACATGACTATTTATAATAATCTAACCGTGAGAATACTAGCTCCATACAATTAGATAACCAAATCCTACACATATTAGGTTTCCTAATAGATTTCTAACTCTACTATCCCACACCAACTACATGTATAAACCAACCTAATAATTATATGAGACCCACCTTTATCATATGGGTGGGACTAATCCTAACAGGCTAATCATGCAATAGAATATAAAGAGGGATGTCCTCGTAACATTCATTAATGAACACCAAAAAGACATATGATAGGATGATAAGAAAGCCTTCCCAAACAACATGGTGTCTAAAGAATGCCCCTTACAGATCCTGGAATTTAACTCCCATTTGGACCATGAAATGTCCCCAGCACTATCCTCCAAAACTTATTTCTGCTTTAACTTCAAACCATTAATTTCCAGGCAAGATGCATGTCCATAACAAAATCTCATAAAATAAAGTGAAAAATCATTTTGAACCATCAAATCATAACTTTAAATAAGTTCTTAGTCAATACCCTGGCTCCTCCATGGCAAAGCAGATTCGCCATTCACATGAAATTATGCAGCCTAAGGTTCCTCTACAAAAAAGGAGTACTATTCACATAGAATTACAATCTAAGATTAGCTAATCCCAACTGAAAGACTAGCTTTGCAGCCCAAATGATTTGGTGGTAGTTTCTTTCAAGTTATTTCCTACAGATAGAGAAAATTGCAGAAGAAAATCTGTGAGGTTTCCCTTTGGATAACAAAAAATATGAATACTAATGACATAGTTCTCATAAAGTCACCACCTCCCAAGAGATATGAGGTTTCAATGTCACCCAATGAGAAGGCACATGTTCCAAATTTTGCCTGTGCTCCAATCCTAGAAATCCTAAAGATAAGTGTGGAACCAACGCTAGGAACATTAATAACAGTTTCCACCAAAAGTAGCAGTAATAATAACAACAGCAACAGCTACAACAAAATATATAAACATACATATATTGATCACAAATTGAAATCAAATACCCAAAAAATTTAAAAATAAAAGTAGGACTAGATTCTACTTAGAAACTAAACTTCTTATTAAGGAAAGGAAACAGTGCATACTTTTCTCTGGAAACTAGAAAGAAAATAAACAAATAATGCCTTCATATCAGAATCCTACCCTATGGAAAAAAGGCTATAAAGAACATACCAAAAAAATATTGAGCAATATAAAGTATAAAATGATCAAAAAGACGAATATTTCTGCATGAATTGAAATTCGCAAATAGATCTTTTATCAAGCACAAAAATTAAATTCAATTGAGTATAAACATTACCCCGTGAGTTCTTGTAATAGGAGCTACTTGTGACATATGTTTAGTAAGAATCTCTTCCTCCAGAGAAAATTTTCTTATTTTCTTTGGAATGCCAGCTTTGGCTTCGCTGTGATCTAATTTGTCAAATCTAGAGCTGTTTTCCCCTAATATTGGAATTGGTTGTGTTGCTTTCTTCGAAACCCATTTTTTCTCTTGATATCTGAAGAAATCCAAGAGATTCACTTAGAACTAGAAAGAAGAAGAATAAAACTGTACTATTCACTATTTTATAATGTAACACAGTATAGTTGTGCAACTTACTTGGCACGGATAAAGTTTTCAGTCCCGCTTCTGTCAAGATCTGGTGATGCTTCTGCTTCCCAATAACTGTTAGCTTTCTCATTGCCCATAGCTACACAATTAAGCATTTTGACAATACAAAAAATTTCCATAATAGTTTTAAAAAAATATTGGTAAAACAAAAAAATCAAACCTATTTAGCACAACTTGAGGAATGACCAACTATTTTTTTCTCACTGATCTCTATTAAATTCATCGCCAGTCAGAAAAGTCAAGTGACTAAGATAAACAGCTAGTCATCCATAAATTTGCATCAGCAAGGGATCACATCTTGCAAGATAACGGCTATCTTTTCTGTGCCACATGTGGAGCGTGATGCTATAGGCCAATCACTTGTATAATTAGTCGAAAGGGAATTGGGTACCAATTTCTCCAATTCATAGGGGGAAAATAAGAAATTAAAACAAAATTAAACTTTGTGCGAAAGCAATCTTGTTTTGAGGTCTGCAATTAGCTAATTCATAAATTTTATGGACTCAGGTACGAGTTTCAGGTGCGGAAACTTACCCAAGCATTAGAACTTTCATAAACCTAAATCTTACATATTGGGTTGGGATATGGAACCAAAATTTGGATATGGGTATGGGAACGTGTCATTGACACTTACATATTGCATAATATATAATATTCTTAGACAAAAAAATGTAATTAATTATGTACAAACAAAACTTTAAATTAAATAGGATTTATGAAAAACATGGAGTTCCTCCCTCTCATCCATGTGAGAGGCTAGAAATGTTTCTTCACTACCAAATGTGAGTATCTTCTTCTTCAAACATTGTAAAAGTTTAGAGGATTCAAGTGTCTAAATTGGGTACGGGTGTTGGACACATATCCGACACCCTTATCCTTGTCATATCCATTGAAGAGTCCATGTAACACAAGAATATACAAAACATATTCTTACACTGCATAAAAGCAACCTGCTCCGGTAGCCATGTATCCAAAGTTGTAGACCGTACCTATTTCAAAAAATCAAAAGAATTTCCCATCATTTGAAATAAGGAATAATTGAAGTGCATTCAAGCAAGAACATACATGTCGAACTCAACAAACCTTAATCCTAATTAAACAAGAAAGTATAAGTTGCTGGAGATAAGATTATATTATTAAAGATATTAGAAGATATGAAATATATCAGAATATAAAGAGATCCCATGATTTGTGCTTATCATTATTTTTTGTATTTTTGATTTATTTCAATCCCTTAACTGAAGGGATTTTAAGTGATTCTAAAAAATAATAACAGACTCCATCAATCATATGAAAAGAAAAAACAAAAACAAAAAAAACTAGTGAAGAATGATTAATGCAAACCTTTGAGATATGAACTCCAAGACTCCGATGTATTCCTGAGCATTGCATGCATATAAATACCCCCAGGTTCACACTTGCCCAACGTGGAGCCCTGAAATAAGTACGTCATAACACTAAAAAATCGCATTAAATTAATAGTTGTTGACCTGAATATCACAACTTTATCTACTTTTGGTAGGTTAAATAAATCATTGATTGAAAACAGCAATATGTACAGAAATGGGGAATACCCCTTAGCTCAATACAACTTCTTTGAATACAAACATCAGAAGAAAAAAAACCTGAGCAAACCCACAAAGAAACATGGGACTTACCTCTAACGTATCTACAACCACTTAACAGAACCATCAACCTATTGCCTTCAAAGCAACGAGAGGTTAACCATTTCTAAATTTGTAAGAATCTCTAGTCAATTAAAAAAAAAGAAAAAAAAGTGTTTTAAGTTTTAAAATTTTGCAAAACTGTGATTTTTACGGTAGGAATTTGCCTAATCAGATCCAAGAACCCATTAGATTGGTTTTACAGATAGGAAATATGATTCCCTAATCATATTAATACTTGATCAGATCAGAGTCAATTGAGAAAGTCTAATGACTATCCAAGAAGGTGGTTGTAGACCTCCTCACCACCAGCCTCTAGCTTAGTTGGTACTTGGCATGAAAAAGTTGGCAATAAATACTGTTTGTTGAAGGCCAAAAATTTCATGTGGCTGAAACTAGTTTAAAATTCATATATTAATAGACTTTTTGATATTGCAAAATTCTATATTATCAAGAAATAACAGAGAAAAAGAAACCAGAGTAATTCACAAGAAGCCATCACTATGTGGGACTGACTAGTGCAGCCCGCGATTAAGTGCACCAGAAGGTGAAGTATCATCTCGAAATGATTAAGGCATGACCCAAGACCACCAGGTAGCAGATATGATAATAGCTTTTTTCCAGAAAAAGATATTTTAAAAGAATAATGGTGACATCACAAAATGCATCACAAATCAGTTCTGAAGCGTACTTGCATCGACAATCAGCACATTCCCTATTTTCTGGCAGCTTGAGAAGACCCTCCAATATCTGCAATACAAGGAAAAAACAAAACACAATAATGATGTTTAGAAAGTAAAATAAAGGTGACACCGACTCTACCAAAACAATGGAAGTCTTCTATCCCATAAAATAAAATTAAAAAAATGTATTATTCTTACTAATTAATGGTTCCTCACAAATTATCTCATGAAGTAATGCCAAAGTCAATGGAAGATGCTTTTTCACTTGGTCCTCAGTAAATCTTCAGACACCCTACTCAACATCCATTGATCTAACGATGGTCTATGAGTGATCCATCATACTTGATTTCAGAATGTGTCAACCAAGTAGCCTAGGTTGGGAGCAAGGCCAAGCATCTCCGCTCGGGATCACTTGAGTACTTGTTGTAGTGAGTTCTACCACAGCCAATTCATTCTAGTGCATGTTATATTCCATTGATTGAGCATGCAGCGTGCAAATTTTCAGTTTTACTACATTAGGGATTCCTAAGAAATTCATGCTTAATCAATTAATGTAATTTGAATTTTGACCCACTTTTGGTTTTTCTTAATCAAGGTGCTCAATTGACAGGAGTTAATATTGTTGTCTATCATTTCCCACTTTATGTAAAAGTTAATCATAATTAATTAAGGTTAAGTATGGTTAATTAAACTAGTAATCATGATTAATTAAGACTGATAGTATGATAAGTGGTTTAACTATGATTCATTAGTGTTAGCCTCAATTAATTAAGGTTAATTAATTAATTAACCAATTGGTTAGAGATGAGATGAAGCACAAAACCTCACTAGGGATGTTTGACACCTCCTACCTGGCTTATATGACTAAGAGAGAGAGAAAGAAGCTTGTGTCTCTCCTAGATATATCCATGTTCTACATTGGAACTGCCCATATACAAGCATGAACGATGGATCTAACCAGAGGCAGTGCTACAAGAATATGGGGTTAGCTGACCCCCCAGAAAAAAAACAACTAGATATATGTAATGTATTTACAAGTATTGGGTGGATATTCTCATGTGGCCCATAAAAAATGAAAGAAAATTTAAGTAAAAAGTATGATGTTGGGGTCAATCTTGTCTTTAGTTTACTAATTGAGGTCAATATGATCTTTCTGTTTGCCAAATTGTAGTCAAACAATTGAAAAAAATAATCACAAATTAAATTACTAGTTTGTTGAAATGAAGGGAAAATTGAACATATTTTACAAATAATTTCATTCAATAGAGGTGGTTGGTTTGATGTTATTCAAAATGAAGGGAAAGAAAAGAAAAAAAAAATAAATAAAAATAATCTATGAAGGAAGGAATGAATGAGATTGAAGCAAGCAAATGAGGAAGCAGATCAAAATTATGAAGAAAATGAAGGAATAGAGAAGATTGAAGGGGGTAGAGAGAGAGAGAGAATGAGATAGGAATAATACTTTGGTGTGTTTGGCGTTGAGCTCCTTGGATATGGTCGCCTTCTCGTTCATGTTTGGTCGATTTTGTTTCCTATCTCTATCCTTTTGTTGTGGATTCCCAAAATTCCCTTCTCTCAATTTCGCACAGAGAGAGAGAGAGAGACAGAGAGAGAGAGAGAGAGAGAGAAGAAGAAGAAGAAGAAGAAGAAGAGAAGAATGGTGTACCCTGTGTTTGTGTGTGAGGTGCGCGTGAGAACAATGGGGGAATAGTAGGACTGGTGGCAGAACAGATTCGAAGGAAAACGGTTATATCTTATCACTTCCTCTAAAATCCCGGGTTTTTCTTCTCTTTCTTGGTGTTTGTATTTGACCTCCGCCGCCTCTATCAAGGCTCACAACCTTTTAGGCTCTGTACCACTGAAAAATCTTATTTGGGTCGAATCATTCTTTGCCAAGGTATGAACTTGAGTTGAATAAAGGCCTATCAGGATAGATTGCAAGTCTTTAAGACTGCCAAATGATAATCCCTTACGCTTCCTTTAAAATTAGTTAAGAACTAACTTATTAAATCATGTTCCATATAATCTTATTTTCTTATCTTTTTTTTTCCTCACTCTAAGATATAAATAAGTGAGTTCGATATGCATTTATAAGCGTGAGTCTCGTTACTTTTTGTTTAAAAATGACAAAATTAGATAAGAAATGAAATTAGATATGTCATTATTTTTTTATTTTTTAAATGACTTTTTAAAATAATTAAAGTCAAGTTTATGTCAAAAATTGTGTGTGTCAAAATGACCTAATGTTTGTTTATTTATTTAACAAAACAAATTCTTTAGCTAATAAACTAGTTTTTAGAGGGTTGCTACGGAAGCTTTAGTATTATTTTGTATATATGTATGAACATTGTTAGATGTTGATCTTCCGACAATATTTTCATATTTCACTAATCAACACTTACTTTTTATGTTATTTTCAAAGTACAAATATAGAAGTAAAAATAAAACTCTATGGTAAAGATAAATATGTCATATGCAATTGACCCAAATTATGCTAGATGATTAAAATTAACCTACACAACTGGTGATTAAACAAGTTGCACTATTGAAATATAATATAATCGTACATTTTCAAAATTTACATGGTTGGGAAGGAGGTAAAGTGAGGGATATGCTTAATTAGAAATGCTGAGATAGTAAGAATAGCGAGGCACAAGATAGAGAATAAATTAGGGCAGTATTACATCGGCTGAAAATGGTGGAGTAGGTGTGATGGTAGTAAGAGAAAGAGCAATATCAAGCCAAAAACCATCAACTAATATATTTGTTATCTCCCCTGGGACATATTCTAAGAAAAAATAATAAGGTTGTGGTTGGTTACAGAATTTGAGAAATAAATTAAAAAGAAAAATTTTAAAAATAAATGAAATATAAATAAAATATATTTATATTTTATTTAATTTTATATATATATATATATATATATTTTTATTTTTAAATTTCTTCTTAAATTTTTCAATCAAACACAGTTTAAGAGTTTGACTCCTTAAAAATTTTCATTCTTATTATTATTATTATTTTTTTTGTAATATTTCTTGAACTCATTCTATTATATTATTTTTCATGTAAAACCACCCAAGTTTAGAGTTAGATATTAATCACAAACTGTGGGGATATATTTTCTGAATACCAACACGTGGCATGGTGACGCCGACGTGTCAGCCGAGGTGCCACGTGCCCTGGTAGTTAAGCCGAGGTAATCTCGGAGAAGCCGAGGTCATCTCCGAAAATATCGGAATCTGAGATAAGGGGCAAGAGTCCTAAGGCACAAAGGGGACTGAACCAAGATAAGGATAAAACTCTCAAGGAGTTTATCTTTATCACTTAAAAGAGTCCAGAGTAAACAGTGAACCACAACCTCAAAACTTCAATATATGTACATGCATGTAACACTTAAGCTTCAATTCACCATCTAAACCAGGTTTTGGCTCTAACCTCCATCAATATGACATGAACCATGCAAGATTCAACTTAAAACATGAATAAGAAAACAATGGAGCTACCTTAGTCTTGTGTTCAAGGTCTAGGAGCTCAAAGTAGCAATCAACACTTCAATTCCAAGCAAGATCAAGCAAATCTCTCAAGAACAACTCAACTCTCTCTCACTCTCTAACTTGGGTCGGTTGAGGCAAGAAGAGGAGAAGAAAATGTTTGTTTGATCAATACGTGGAGTGTATACAAGGTTCAAGAGATAGTGGTCCACTAAGTGGCGGAACGGTAATTAAATCAAACTATGCGATTAATCGATATTTAATCTAATTTAATCATACCTAATCAATTTTCGGATAATTATACTATAAAATCACATTAATTCTAAGGATCATAGAACACTAATCGGTTTCGGATTCGGCCGCCGATAAGGCCTTCAATTAGCAGTTTAAACATATGAACATGAACGGATAATCATACTGTCAACAGATAAAATGCAATTAACTAACATGTACTCAGTCAATTCAGTTTTCAATTTCAGTCAGTCAGTTCAGTACTTATAATCAGTTCAATTATCAGTAATCAATGTTTAACGGTAATCAGTGGTGAGGGTTATTACAGTGATGATGCGATGCAAGGGGTAGGGCAGTAGGTTGGACGGGTGCAGAGGGGCAATAGCTTGAAATATATATTCTTTTTTTTTTTATTCATTCATTGTAAGAAAATGACATTGACTGTTGTGTTATTTTGTTTTATTTTTTTATTTTTGCAACATCAATAGTTTATTTTTTTTTAATTATTTAACCGTTGCAAGTTGCTTTTTATTTTTATTTTTTAAAATTTGACTATTGGTAGAAAGAGAGCCAGGTGGGTTGGGCCGGGCCGCTCGCAGGGCCCAAAATTTTTTGGATCGAGCCAACAAGTCGGGGTAACAACTTCAAATGGAGGGCTCAGGTCCAAAGTACTGGGTTGGGCTCGGGCCCGAGCCGAAACGGGCAAACCCAAACTCGGGCCTCGAGCAGGGTTCAGGCCACCCACGGGGCTTAGGCCATTTTTACACTCCTGACACACATCCTCTCTTCTCAAATTTTCTAGAACGTACCCAACCCAAATATACACATATTTTCTGATTAGTTTGAGTGGGATTAGGTTAGTTGCTAATTACATATTAATTTAATTAAACACTGCGTAATCTCAATTAATAACACTTGATTGAATTAATTCCATTAAACTTAATTAAGTCTTGATTTAATTATTCCAAATTTATACAGATCTCACCTAGTCCTAGTTAATTATGATTACCATATAACTTAATTAATATAATTAATCTCAATTAAGGCTTAATTTAATCATTCTTAACTTTATTAATCTGAATGAAATTTTTAATTAAACTCCAATAAGGTTCTACGTATTAAACTGATTCAATTAAACTCGCCACTTATAGTTTCTTAAATCATCTCAGTTTTCAATTTCTGATTTAAAATAATAACTCTACTCATAAAATTGACTTTATTAAATTTCTTTATCTTTCATTTAATTGACTCACGTTAGATTAATATACTAATTATTCCTTAGCTTAATTAATCACTTATTAATCTTAATTAAAAAAAATTCTCATGTTAATTAATCTATTGAATCTCAATTAAGTCCTAATTTATTTTAATTTTAATTACATTTAATTAAGTTCCCACGAGTTTTACACATTAAACCAAACTTATTAAATTCCTCATTATGGTTTCTGAATCAAATAATCACTCAATTTTTTGATTTGAGCAAAATCTCTTTTAATTTATTTACTTTTATTAACTCATTAACCTTGATTCAGTTTAAATAATCAGATTCAATTTTAAATCTTCATTACCTATTTGATTCCAATCAAATTAAATTAGACTCTAATTTCCATTAACCTGATTGATGTTTCAACAAATTTTCTAAAATATTCTAAATATCAAATTAAGCTATTAAGCTCTTCAATTAGAGTTTCTAAGATGCATAAATATTTCAGTTCCAAATGTGAAGTTATACTCTAGCTCAATTTTATACATTAAAATTTAATATAAATGCTTTCCTTAAAATTGATCCAATTTGTTTAGTCTCACAATTTTAATCGCATATGCTTCTTTTAAATTCTTTACCATCATATTTATATTCAAACATTCCATCTTAATAATTCATATTTTCATTTCTAGAATATTATATAATTATTAAATTATAGAATATATATATTTATTTATACCATGTAATACTGTATCTGGTGTGGTATATATTTACTTTGACAACTTAGGAGGTGATCATTTTTGAACTTCCACCAGTTGACAAGGAAACTCATATAGATTGTAATATGTTTTCGTAAGTGGTATTATTTAGATTGTTATACTCTTCTCTACTTTAAAATTTTCATCCTCAAAATTTATCCTCAGAAAAGTGGTCCGTTTTTGTTGCACACTTAAATAAAATTATTATTTTTATTATTAAACTTATATCTCCTAGCCTATGGTGGAATTATTTTTTTTATTTTTTTTTCTTTCAATTTCAAATCTTTTATGCTATCTGATTCTCTTATCCTAACTTCAATTAGTATGTTTTTGTTAAATTCAAGTTTTTCGTTTTTGACGATCTTTGCTCACACGATTTGAAATTGATCAAATTTGTTTAGTTTCACAATTTTAATCGCATATGCTTCTTTTAAAATTTTTTACTATTATATTTATATTCAAACATTCTATCTTAATAATTCATATTTCCATTTCTAAAATATTATATAATTATTAAATTATAGTACATGTATATATTTGTTTATATTATCATGTAATACTACATTTGGTGTGATATATATTTACTTTGACAACTTAGGCAGTGATCACTTTCTAACTTTCACCAATTGACAAGTGAACTCATATGGTCAAAACTTATTATTTATATTCTTTTCCAACCATTTAGTTAACTATTTTATATTATAAGATAACTAATTTGATTTAAAGCATTTAAATATTGATC